CACACTTAATATTATCAGCGTTCTGATGGCATTCTAGCCAAAGGATTTTTATCAAAAACATAATTAATGTGCAAAAAAAAAAGGAATAGTTGAATTAACTATACATATAAACAGAGTTTTATGGGGCCCCCAGGAACTTGGGGCCCTAAGCAGCTGCCTAGTATTGCCTAATGGTAAATCCCCCCCTGTTTGTAATAATATTTACTGTAGATTTAACATTTACTGATGATGGCTGTTTATAAATGAAAGTTTGTTCCTCAATCTGACTGGATGATCTGGTGAACTGGAAAGTTACCTCGGATGACATGTATTGTAAAATGGAGCTATAGAAATAAACTGAATTAAATTGTTATTCTCTTAGATTTGTGTTACACATAAGCTACTATTCTTTTTCTGGCAGGTGGTAAACAGCAGCCAGGTTAATACCGCGATCAAACAAATCTTTTTCTGCAGGCTGGGCGCCTCCAGGCGCATCGCTGCCCCCTTCAGGACACTGGCTTGTGCATCATTTCATGGGCATTACGCTGCTGTGCGTTATGCAGACGATAGGGTTGTTGGACAGAAGTTCTGCATTCATTATGAATACACCCAGAATAGAAAAAAAATACAAGTTATGCCAGCGTTCTATGAGATTCTGGGACGTCAGTAATACGCTGGATAAATCAGCAAGATGTGTCAGAGGCTTTAGGAGGGCTGTTACACAGTTCTCTGAATGTAAGCATGTTGGACACCATAAATATAAACAGAGAATATGCTGAGTAGTAGCCATTCAAAATTTCCCCTTTTTCCTTGGCTGATCCCCTACAATTCCTTTTTATCAACATCAATCTTTGTACTAAAATATTCTTTCTGTCATGATTTGCTTACATTAAGACCCAAAGAGAAGCATCATCTCCTGGTCAGACCCTGTAATTCAGTGAAAGGATGGCATCAGAGTAAAAATATATGCTAGAGGGGGGTCACTGCAATGGCTGGAAGGTCGAGGGTGTTTGGCAGGGAGTTGCAGGGTAGTAGGCTGACCTTCAGC